TAAATTTAAAACGGCACGGAGGATGGAAATCCTTAACCGTAGCAGAAGGTTACCTTGAAAATTCAATGAAAAACAAAATTGATATAGCAAACAAAATCCATGCGGGATGTTCCACAAACAATATGCAGCAAACTAATTTTGTTAGTACCGCTACAAAAAAAAACAATTCCCAGTATTTCAGACACATCTTCCCTTCAGATATTTAACGTTCACAATTGTACATTTAACATAAATATTCAAAAATAATGTATTTAGGGCCAATTTAGGCATTATCTAGTTTCTGTTTAGTAGTATTTGTTGATTATTACTTAATTATAACTATAAAATTAGTTATCATTAAAAAGTCGGTCTTAAAAAAAATATTGTCACCAAGCTTCCAGGACTCGCCTACGGCTCGCCCTGGAATATGCTTGTCTCGACTTGTAAAACACTACTTTCCGGTCTTGTAACGTAAATTACTATAGTTTTGCCAGAGTTTTCCAGTAAAGAAAGCAGATGTCAGCTTTATGAAAAACTTGGTACTTACAATTATTTTGTTTTGCTCTTCGAGCAATTGTCACCCATTCGTGGGGTAAATATGCAGGTACATTTATTGTTACTGTTTCGATTCTTGCATGCATAGAATCACATTCCATCTGACTGGCTAGAAACTAGAAATTTTTGATCAATTATGTTAATCTGTAAAACTTGCACTGCATAAAATAAACATGGCAGCCACAAATTGGTTTTTATTTTGGACCCCACATGTGTCGCTAATTAGCCTTACATTTTCGATACTAGCAGGAAGGCTTTTTAAGTGGTGAATTAGACATGACCACATGTAACATTTTCCAATATTGTTTACCTTTTTCGAAACAAGAGGCGCTTTAACGAAGGAAATGATTTTCGAACTATCCAGTTAGTTTTCGGAGAACTAGAAAACGTTTGAAGAAAGTCGTCCATAACTTTAGCGTGTCGTTCATGTGTTTCATTTTGATCAGCTTTCATTCTAAATTGCATAGAATACTCTTCCTTCGATTCAAAATCGAGATTCTCGAATTTCCACATTTTATTTATAAAACTTTCTAAACTGGCTTTATTGTTATTAACAATTTTTTTAACATACTTCAAAATGGAAGGATATTCTCAATTCGTTGAAATATTTTTTTTTATGTATGTTGAGCAATAATTCTTTACCACATTGCCCGATTTCTGATTCTCTTTTTGTTAGAAAAGGTATATATATTTAGTCAAGATCTGAAGATGGGATCCATAAGAAAATCATTAACATCTTCATTTTTAAAGTAGGTTTTTTAAAATTGCTTTAAATCGTACTGGCTCGCACGCTGTAAGGAATGAAGAAATGTAAATAATTGTTTTTGCCAGCCAAAAAGCGAAGAGGAAGCAACGATTAAAATATCGAGTGACCGAAGAGTTTCTAAGTTCGTTGAGATCGGGTTTATGTTTTATGTCTTGAAACCTGTATTTGAAAGTATACCCCAAGCCAACTCCACCAGTGACGTCACAAATGTTAAATAAAGGTACAATTTAATAGGGTTAATTTTCAGTTTCTACATTTGAAAATATACCCGATGCCAACTCTGCCAGTGATACCATGTTAGGTAAAGGTACAATTTAATGCGCTAGTTCAGTGTGATGTCATTTTAGTTCCACTGACATTTAATTCTAACCAAACTTTTAACAAAAACATCAATAAATTTGACATACACGTTTTTACTGTTTATATTTTATTTCAAAATATTGTTTACAGGTCATAAAAAATAGTTTAAAGGTATGTAATTGGTAACTAAACGATTGTATATTTGATACATGCTATCTACTTTAAGAATATATTTATAAAAGTGAAAAAAACGATATAATTTAGGTAAACAAAACGCACTCAAAAAATCTACTGTCACTTTAATTGTCAGTGGAACCATAGTTACATCCATGGAGACTACACAAGGAGCACGCACTCAAGTGTGGCATTTGCCAGAGTATGTCCGCGCTTTATCGTATAAATAAAGCTTTCTTTTTTCACCACCAGCGTCGCTAATTTTTCTTTTGTACCGGTGTGAATATAGAGGAATAAACAAATGTGAAGTTAGCGTGAAAATAAAGTAACCGATTATTTAATTAACGTAAACACGTGTCAAATGTTTTTAAATTAAATAAATATAAATAGAGTTTTAATTAATTAATGATTAATTAGAATTATTTATTTTATTTCAAACTACCGCCTCATTCTCTTATGCCATTTTGGTACTTATAGAACACTAGCGCCCTCTTAAAATACTATGTTTAACACAGTACGCTTGTTATACATGGAGTGCGTGCTCCTTGTGTAGTCTCCATGGTTACATCATCACTGGACTAGCGCATAGCATTTTAAATTATACTAGACTGAAACACGGTCTCTGACGTCATGAGCGTTGTGTAATGGTATATATATTCCAAACAAGCAACATTTCATGTTCCATCGGTATCAGGAATAATAGAAGTGGCATTTCATTTAAAATAAAACGGAAATATCAAAACTGTTAGAATATTTTAGATGGAAAAATCATAACCAGTTTACTATTTTTAACAAAAAATCATTCATTGTTTTGTCAGATACCGATAATGTCTCCTTGTCGCTGGGCAGCCTGTATATAAATATAATGGCTGCTAAATACGTTGATTACATTTTCATTACCCATTGTAAAAATGTCTTTTATTGTACCTAGGATTTAACTTAGTACTGCACAAAACTAAAAATAAAATGCCACGTTCACCGTGTAATTAAATAACCACAAATTTAAGTCAAAATATCACAAACGGATTTGGTGTTTCAGCCTGAGTATCTTCTAGTGCAATTTTAGTTGTGTCCGCTGGTACAAAAAAGTAATCGGAAAAAACGTTGGAATTAAATGGACTGATTCCTGTTTTAGCAAATCCACTCAATGCATTTTGGATTGTGGCTGCTGTACCATACGCTTCAGAAAAGAGTTCACTCACTTGGTAAGCTGTAATAACACGACCTGGATGATTTTTCATCCATGTGATTGTAATACGCCTTTAGGGGTTCAAAAAAACACATCAAGCGGCTGCATACGGTGGGTGCAGTGAGCTGGGAAGCACAGAATAATGTTATTCTCTCTACAAAACGACACAGCTGCTAAGGAGGTATGGCTTATATGACCATCAAGCAGGAGTATTTTATTCTCCGGAAAGGGGTTAGCATGTTTGCAAAAATGTTTCGGCCATTGAACGAAGAGTTCTGAGTTCATCCAATCAGACTCTTGGCACAAACCTAAACTTCCAGGAGGTGCTTTATCAAAAAGTTCATCTTTCTTGTTTTTTCTTGAAAAGGTCAAGGCTGAAGGAATATAGTTACCTGTTGCACTCATGTAACAAACAACAGTTACATGCTGGCCTCTTTCTGCGCTTGTCAGGGATCCTACTTGTTTGCGCCCAGTTGATGCTAATATTTTCGGAGGTTTCTGGACAGTAGACAGTCTACTTTCATCCATATTGTAAATCTTCTCAACAGTGATAGATTTCTTTTGTAGAACAGAATCTAAAACCTCAAAAAATTTGGAAACTTGAGGCTTGTTAAAAGCTCGTGCCCTTACTTTCATCCATATTGTAAATCTTCTCAACAGTGATAGATTTCTCTTGTAGAACAGAATCTAAAACCTCAAAAAATTTGGAAACTTGAGGCTTGTTAAAAGCTCGTGACCTGGTTGCTGAAGTGTGTTCTGGCCGTCGTAGAGATATGTCGGTATTTCTTTTGCGAAATCCTCTGAGCCACTCTTTTCCTGCGATTCCTTTTTCACGGTTAAATCTATGATCTAGTTTATTTTTTTCCGCAAACTCATAAGCTAATTGTCTCACTTCGGTTGTGGTTAAACCAAACAGTCTAGATTCAAGATATTTTAGGTGTTTTACCAACTCTTTCTCTGTTTGGGAATCAAAAGTTATTGAAAATCGGCCCAGACTTTTCTCTACGCCTTTAACTCTTTTATTCTTATTAGCAGCTCTACGTCTAAGAGTTGCTTGGGGAACGTTATAGACTTTAGATGCTTTTAGCCATCCCATTCTCTTGTACATCTTTTATAGGTTGCTGCATAGATGCGTCATCCCAAAACTGTATTAGTCTTTCTGACGTACCTTCCAACCATGGTCATCTGTAAAAAAAATTAAAGATCGAATTGCAATTAATATAAATCATTGTACCAAAAAGACTAGAAATTGTACTGTGCGTCGTATAAAATGACATACTAAGGGGTCTATTCTGTAACAATTCCTTTATATTTAATGGCCTTTAAAAATATTGGTGGCCTTAAATATATTTTCGTATTCGTTAATTTACTTCTGTCATTATTTAAACAGATTTCTTTAAGATAGTCCTCTAATGTATTTTAAAGATCCGTTTAAATAATGACAGAAGTAAAGAAGAAAATATTTTTAAAGGCCGTTAAATATAAAGGAATTGTTACAGAATAGACCCCTATGTCATTTTAACAACAACCACAATATGTCATTTTAAACACAATGTTACATTTTCAATATATAGATTATTATTGATAATGTTAAAGTTGCTATTAAAAAACCTACTTACCAATCAATTGTTCACTGTTCGCATATAACAATTAATGCCAACACAATATTTAATACCACGAAGAATGATATAAAAACAGCAATGTAAAATCCACGCATACAAAACTTTCTTGCCACTCTGAAACATAACCTACACAATAAAACCGTTGTATGAAGTACTAGGTCTTTTCCTTTGCATAGAAAGTGTAGCACTGAGCTACGTCACTTCTGATAATATTCCATCCATACAATTTGTATATATGGAACGATATTTTCAGAATCGGTGTAGCCCAGTGCTACACTTTCGATGCAAAGGAAAAGACCTATTATCTTATACAACGATAAAACCGTTAAATAAACCTGGAGAGATCTGTAAACTTATACTATATTTTAATAGAGTGTTTGTTACTTAGTACAGTTACCGAATAAGAGATATGCCGCTTCTAGTTTCCTATATAGAGAAAGTGTGTCATTTTAGCAGTTAGTCATTTTAGGACACTTTCCCCTAAACCATCGTTCATGTTAAATCATAATTTAAAAATAAATAAATTTGAAATTCTTTTGTGTTATGTATGTTTTAATATGCTTGGCAACACTACAGGGACAAGTCATGTATACTGCGCATGCTTTTAGACACACTATTTCTGCTTAAATGTTTTATTTGTATTGGTCTTCTATATTATTTCTATGTTTATACCACTTAAAGAAGTTAAAAACTTTACCGTTGTAATAACTCCTGTCAATAGTCGTGGTTAAACCCGAGTGGATCGTAAAACAATACATTGTTCCTGGCCAAATCGTATCTGTCCAGTTTCTCCATCAAGCGTTTGGCTTTGGCCAAGAAACGTTTATCGTTATCGTTGCGAGGCTTCAAACTCGCCGCCATATTCAAATAGTACTTCGCTTTAAAATATTGTCCGATGTGCATGCACGTGTTGCCGAGATAATATAAATTGGACAGCATCGTTCTTGGTTGAAGTTCTTCGGCGTGTGCTAAATATCTGAAAAGTTTAGAGTTAAATTATTAATAATATTCGTCGGTTGAGAAGAATACTGTCACGTTTAGCGTGTTTTTTAATAAAAAAATGTCACGTTTTACGTACTCTTTAATAATTGAAATGTGTCACAATGAATGTGTTCTTAAATAGTTAAGGGACTATCTATGTCCCGGGGTCAAATAACAAAATATATAAATTCGGACCTCAATCGTGTAAGGACTCTATTACCTTAAACTAGGCTTCGTGGCCATGAACTATATGGGGATTTCCGGCTGTTTGCTGCGAGTAGCTAACACCTGCAGTCGTGGTTTTAGATTTAAATGTTCGTGACTGCGCGGCCTGGGGAGCCTACTAATACTCATTTTTGGGGCTTTCGGGCATCCTCTGTAGCTCGCAGGATGGTCCCTTTTGCAATTTGCGCAAGTGGCTTTCTCATTTTTCGGCCTTTTGCACAGTGCCGCTCTGTGGTTTCCACCACATCTTACGCATCTGTCGTCCATATGGCAGAGGGATTGCGCATGATATCCCTGGCATCGATAACACTGATGTGTCGCGCCATTTGGGCTTTGGGCCTCAACTTTACTAGTCCAACGCACCGGTTGACTGATTGCATATCATCTCTTTCTGTTTTTGGTACGTCAATCAAAAATAAGGGTAATGCCCTTTTATCTACTCGTGATGTCATCTGCTGTACCTTTATTGGATGCAGTCCCTGTTCAGTCAGGTCGCTCAGCACGTCCTGGGCTGACATATTTGTCGGTATCCCTCTTAAAACTGTTTTAAAAGACTTGTCTTCAGCCAACTGATGGCAGAAGAATTTAACCCCTGATTTCTCTAGGTACAGCGTCATCTTTCGGTAGTCAGTCGTCTATGGTTTTAGGCCATACTCGAGTACCGTTCCCGTTTACGATCGCGGTTTCGTATTTTATGTCATTAGTTGCAAATTCGCGTGTTATTTTGATCCAATTCGTCGATGGGTCTAACAGAATAGACGCCACCTTTGGATTTTTAATTTCGTCGTTATTTTGCGAGTTTAAGTCATTATTAATACTGGTTACTTTCGCGTCTTCATTATTTTTAGTTTCTTGGGTATTTTTTATTATGTTTTCCTCGATGGGAGTATGGTCTTCTTTATGGCGCTTTGCCGCTCTGCGCCTTTGTATGTTTTTTAACCCGGCAATCTCTAATCTTAGATGTGTGATGTGTAGTTGGTAGTGACTGCGTATATGTTTAAGCGGTTGAGCATGCAGCAAGCGATCATCGGTGTCTTCATCTATGAACGCGGGGCGGAGCACTCCTTGACTGATTTGAATTTGCAGTGTATTGTGTGTTGCCGATTACTGGCGTTTGAAACGATTGATCTGTTACAATTGGTAATTATCTCCAGGCAAAGCACATAATAATTACAAATTAAGTTTATTTTCTTTTTCAAAAAAAGATAGAAGGTAAGTTAATAAAAATATACGTCGAAGTCAGAATCAATACCATACCAGCCATCATCAAGATATAATACAAAAGATCTAAAATTGAAAAAGGTTACTTTACATATGGGCGATTCTTGCATAACTGATTTTTTATGTCCAGTATTTTATTTATCGTTTAGCATAAGTTTTCCTCATCAAAAAGTTATTAATATTGTAAATTTAGAGGTATTTTACAACTGACATTATGAATTAGATCATAAACCTTCGCAAATTTTTTTTAAGCTGCACCTAAATATACTCGAAATGTCAGTACCGTGGCATGTCCGATTCTTATTTTTAAAACTAAATATATAAATTTCTATCAAAATTAATTTTTTAATATAAAATATACCTCTTATAAATACAATCTAATGCATACTGCATTGAATTTTATTGCAATTTTATACCAATTTTTCGTTTAGTAAAAAAAATAATCATTTACCCAGACAGCACACCAAATCCTTTGGATATCTACTGAACATCCCAATATCCACTGAATGTCCAGTCCATGGTAGATATCTATTTTATATCCATGAAACGTAATTTATAGACATGCAAATGTCCATAAATAATAGTAATTATATAGCAAATTATTAAAAAATTACGCCATTGTGGCTAATAGTATCGTTCAGATATTTAAAATTAATTTTTTTAAGGTGTATTCAATATCCCATGAACATCCACTAAATATATCAAAGTCTATGCGCTAACGCAAACCATCGTGGATATCCACTAGATGTTATTTGATTCTGCTTACTAAGTATAGATGGCGATACCACTATCGCATCTACTCATGCTCGACCCGCCGTAATTGAGTTCGATCGAAATTTTTGTCCTCCAGACTCCATTAGAGACTGGAGAGTGTGGAAAATATTTTGAATGTTGAAAATATTTATTTCTCTGCTATTTTCTTTCGACGTTATTCAATAATCATTGGTTACTTATGAACCTCTACTAAAGATACCCATAAAATATTTTGCTGAATATCCGAATATCTTCTATATCCTGGGATATAGACGGACATTTGGTTGGATATCCATATTGGATATATTGAATATCCACAAAATATATTCTGTGGATATCTCTGGGATTTCTCGTATTGTCCGGAAGATACCCATTAGATATTTTGCTGGATAATCCATAGGATATCTTCTATAATCTAGATACAGACGGACATTTGGATATCCATATTAGATCCACGGAATATTTTTGATATCCTGTCGATATATTGGATATCCACAAAAGATGTTATGTGGATATCTCTGGGATTTGGTGTGTTGTCTGGGTCATTACTTGCATGTTATTGTTAAATGTCATTTACAAGGAATTTTGACAGTGCGATTTTTAACGTTTACTGACATGGGCGTAGAAAAAAGTTTTTACTCATCACTTAGAGCAATGAAAATAATTGGCAAACCTTGCTAAATGGCTATAGCGGCACAAAAAGATCTATCAAGAAATAATGTGACAACTCCCCTCACAATTGCTTGTAGTAGGATGTTGTAGGAAAAGTGGTTATTTTTTATTAAATATGTAGGCTGCGCAATAGCACCTCCTATTTTTTAAGGGGGGAGGGTAAAGTTAATTAGTGCCAACAAAGGCACATTTTGTGAATTTTTTTTGACGACACCGTTAAAATCTATTTAAACTAATAGTAAATTAAAGTATAACATTCAAAGAATATTGTGTCAGATTTTCATGTAGAAATATCAAAGAATACGGAAATGGCAGCAATTATAAGGAAGCGTCTCGGAAAAAGGTAGAATTGCAGTGCCCCTCCTAACTCGGTGTTGGATCATCAGAAATAAAAAAATCAAAGTTTTTTTCGTTAGATAATCCAAATAGCAAAATTGGCGATATTCTTGGGGAACAAACCTGCCACACAGGTCCCACACACACGCGCACAAAATTAGGAATTAGCTAGCTAGGTTACTTTTGTAATCAGGGCAGACCACCCTGAAAAGGAGGATAACTCCTATAGCAGGGAAATAGGAAAACAATATGTCCTAGAAAATGTAAAACACTTAAGATTTCCGCTAATAAATCAAAAAAAAAAAAAAAAAAAAAAAAAAAAAAAAAAAAAAAAAAAAAAAAAAAAAAAAACGTTAGATAATCGTTTTCCACAGGTAATTTACGTGAAATTAATTTCAAATTTATTTTTAACAACAACTTCTCCACAACCCCTTGTAAATGACAAAATATTAAACGAAGATCCCTAGCTTCCTTAAATTAGTAAGCTTTGCGCACATGCCCAGCGTTTCTTCTGCATTCATCTGAGATAAAACCGGCTGGCGTTGCTTTAAGAGTCCATTTTTATTTGTAGAACTCAAACTTCAATGTGCTAGTGTTGTGTCGACAAATCTACTAGTTTGCAGTTATTATGAGTAGATTTAGATAATTATCGTGTCTTTCGTATATGCTAATGTGTTACCGTTGGGATAATTGTCAGGTAATTTTTTTTCAACTAATATTTTAACGCTTTGCTGGATTTAGTTGGAAAGCCGATAGGTCGGCCATTTGCTTTTTTTTATTACCATAATGCCGGTTATTTTTGTTTTATTTTATATAGATTAATACAGCTACCCTACCTAATAATATTTTTAAGCTTTTTTTGATATTTACGCGGGGAGGCAATTAAATAATTGAATTACAAGTCAGTCTGGTAATACAGTTTAAACGGAAATATATGGCTCTTAACTTATTTTGGCCTTATAAATAGTTTATATTTTGTTCAGATGATGTAAAACTTATTGTTATAATTTATTTTGGCCTTATAAATATTTTATATTCTGTTTAGATGATGTAACTTTAATATTTGTCCCGTTTATGCATAATTCCGTTAGATTTCTAAACTGAGGTTCTTTTTATTTTTAAACCTGTAGTGGCTTTAAGCTCCGAGGTACGTAGCTTTCAAGCTCCAAGTTATGTAGCTTCCCCAAACAAGCTCCTAGTGTTCAAGTAATTTTCGACGTAGCTCCAAGTAACGTATCTTCTCCAAGATCGAAGCTTCCAATGTCGAAGTAACCTCAGTTAGTATCGGACAGACTTCATCTACCCAGAAGACAATTTAACAGGGAAGTACCGCTGTGTAATTTCACATGGTCGAAACAAAGAAAACAATTTTTAATAATATTCAAGTTCATTCAGTCTCATCCAAGTCATTAATCAGTAATTCATTGTGTAACAAACATTAACAAACTTTGTATTCATTTCATTTTCATTCTTTTCATTAAATGTAACATTGCATTATTGTCATTAAATGTATTAAATTTTCTCAATTTCTTTTATTTGCCTGAACTTGAGGTACCAGAGACCGACTCAATGAAACAGGGCATGTAAAATCAGTTTTTCCATAGTTCTTACTCAAAAACTTGGTGGCGTTCAACATTCTTTTGTATTGTATCTTTCATTTTATCGTAAAGTAGATTTGGCCCGTGAACCGGTCAAGCTGCTCTGATTTTATTTGTCCTGGTCAATTTATGAATACACGCAGTGCCAGCAATTTGAGCTAAATCACCTATTAAATATAATTTACATCGAAGAATTCAAACCGCTGTATCTTCGTTAGATTTGCTCCGATTCATCTTAAATTTTCACACAATATTCTTGGAAGGTTCTCCATTCACAATTTTTTTAAAAACTTTACCCCCCTTAATTTAAAAATCTATTAAAACATACTTATAAGCCAGCGCGTAGTCGCACTTAGGTGGTTCGATGGCAATGAGATATTTCGCGATCATTTTCTGGAACCAGCTGAGTTGGCACATCTGGTAGTACCATTTGCCCAACATGTAATGGGCGTCGTAATCTTCGGGGTTCAGATCGCAGGCTTTTTCCAAATGGTACCGGACCAACGACGAGAACCTCACACGATTTTCAAGACTGATCAATCCGTAATGCTCATCGAGGATTATGGCCATCCATTTGTGAACGTCGGCATTCTCAACACCACCTACATCAATATTCCGTAAGAAAAATTATAATTATCTGAAGAATTATTTATTTTTCGAGAGAATCAAATGATGCTACTGATAATGATACAAAAGATTAGAGGTATTTTATACTTAGCCGACGAAATCTCGTCGAGTTTGCACATGACGTATTGTGGTGTGGAATACCTTATTACCCATGAGCAGATTAAAATTTCTTTTCGATCACCTGACACCTCAAATTTGTAAAAGCCACGCCTGCTCAGTACCTACCACAATACGTCACCGTGACGAAGTATAATTCTGAGTAATATCATGCCTTTTTTTATAGTAGATAACATAGCTACCAATGAGAATTGATTATCCTGTGTAGAACAAAATCATTATATTATTCATAGTACAAAAATATTCATAATTTCTTTCTATTGGCGATTCAAGTTTGGGGTACATTTTATAACATGTGTAAGTAGGCTCAGTGTTGCCGTTGTTATTAAAACTTGTTACTAATCTATTACTATTTTAATAAAGTGGAACTATGAAGAGTTTTCATGAATGGAACTCAAAAATATAATTCAAAAAGACAAATTTTAGTGACAAAGGTAACCGCTATGTTATGAAAATACTTCGTATATAGAAATTAAGAAGTTATGTACAAAACTGGTTGTTAATTAGACAAATTTTTCGCATTGATCTAATTTGCCATTTTCTATTACCTATATTTAGTTGCAAACGTAGAAAATTAACAGATTCCATCCGTTATTTCCTTTATTAATAGCAGTAAAATAGTATACGCTTTAAGGAAATATTTTTCTATTGGTTCAAAATTCTGTTTTAAATAAATTTCTACTTACACAGCACGGGAACATTAATTTGAATAGCGAAGAGTAAGTAGAAAAAAGGATAAAAACAATTTGGACCATAAAAGCTGCTGTCGAAAACACAAAAACAAAAACTATTTACATCAAAAATAATACTGTCTTCTTCTTTATCTGAAGGCTTAAGGTGGGTACATGTAACATTTCTTTCATTATATCTATGATCTTTATTATAGACCGTATATCTTGTATTCCCTTTATATAAAAATAATATCTACTCAAAAACATCTGGAAAGTTTATTTTTTCCATATATATGGGAAAGATAGTGCTTAAGTCGATATCCCAGGCTTGTTCTCATGGATGAAACTCTTATTTCACCTTGGAAAAACACCACGACTTTTCAGAGGGAAATATTTTCTGTCTCAGCAGCCGCTGAAGTAGATTAGCCGCGTTCAGTAAAACTACGTAATAATTATTAATAAAATATCACTGGAAGAATGGTCGTATTACTGGCGTTGGACCAATCTTCTTAGTAAAATCCATTGTACCAAGAAAACTTCAGGTCACTATTAAAACTGATCAAAACTAGCAAGCGCATACTAACCAGATGATAAAGCTGACTGTAACGCCATCTGCGCTTCATTAATCATATTAACTTTGTTACTTTTACTGACATTTTGCTCAACACTCAAAAAATATAAAGCTCTAGCTATCCTCCATAGAATATTAGGCTCTTTAGACGTTTTAAGGCGCTCCAACAACTCGTACACCTCCCAGTGCTGCATGTCCCCGTGCATTTTATCAGCCTGTACAATAACTTCCGGTATATGTCCCTCTGGAAACCTCTGGATCCATAATTTGCTAAAGCGTTTTCGGTTGCTGTTGTCGTTGTTGAAGAACCAGAAAAATTTGAACGATTTCACGAACGGCAATAGGTAAAGTTGTTGAAATCTTAGCCTGTATGGTACTGCAGGGGTTTTTAGCAATTCGATTGCTGTGTTCATCGATACTTTCAATTTTGACATGACTAAAATGACGCCAACAGAAACCCATGACTTAAAGTTAGATCAGGATTCTGAAGGCTGCGTCACAATTAGCTATAGTAAAATCAAAGTATGTGGCTATAGTAGTCTTAGGAACTTTTCAAATAGGTAGTCTATAAGAAACTTTTTCGTAAGTATTTTATAAATAGTACATTAGAAAGTACCTAGGAAAATTTTGTCGATCAGATGTCACAGGAGACCGGAGCACATACTTTGATTACTATACGAGGCAAGTATCCGGAATTGTCGGTTTAGTCGTTTTAACCTGTCAGATTAAATCAAGAAAACCGACAATTCCGAAGCAGAAGCGGATGATTAAAACGCACCTATTAAAAATATTGCGCCAAGATGTAGGCAACACGTGATAAGGGTTCAAAATGGCGGAGTTTTCTATCTCCTTTTAAAAGGCACTCAGAAAGCTGCGCAGTGCGACCATTCTCCGTGACCGGAGTTTTATGTGACGTATGCCACGTATTAAAGCAGAGGTAGAAGTTGGAAAGGCTTTTGCCAGTTCTCCCACTTTATACATATAAATTGACAGGTTTGAGGCGGATCTATCCGAAGTGGACGTGATACATTGGCGTACAAAATTATTTTATAGATGTTAATAACAATTTCTAGTAAATAGTTTAATAAATTGTGAATAGCTGTTGAAATTTTGTAAAAGTATGATTTGAATATTATAATACATGTTTAATAATTATTTATAGTCCATAAATACATGCGATTGTCCGGTTCCGCCGATAACAATTTAAAATTACTTATTCTATGAAACGACAATGGCAGGTAAACATTACTGCGAAATTCTGGAAGCCGTCCGACGTGGTGAAACATATTAAAACTTACTCCAGAAAATATTTCAAATAGTGATGTTTTATGTTCCAATCATTTTTCTGGATATATATTTATGGCAAAGACTGGATGCGGAGGAAGAACTAGATTAATTCCAGATGCATTGCTATCAGCATTTACTGAGGCCCCAGAAGAATATGAATCTAAAAGGTAAAGAACCCTGCAGTTTTCTTGTGAGTTAATCGTTTAAAATTTTTAATTTTTCAGTGACGATCTGAACCATGAAGCCTCTGTTGCAGAAAAAGAAATTGCAGAATTAGAAAACATGTAAGTGACTAAGTACTTTTTAATATAACAAAAATTTTATTTTAAAATAATTACCTATTACTACCTATATTTTTTATAAACCACAAAAATTGACAATAATTATTTTTTATTAAATGTACCTATGCTCTTTAATTAAGTAGACTAAAAGTCGTTAAGAAATAAGCAAAACCTAATGTGAGTTTTTCAATAAAAAAGTTATTTTAAGTTTCTTTTAATTGCACTCCTAAAGTCTATTCAGATTTCATTTACGCCGCGTCAAAACAATCTCTCCCATCCAGCAACAGCTCTCGTGGCATTTTCTTTGCGCTTCTATTGGTTAATCGGTCGTTAGTCATTTAGACGTCGCGCAAATATTTTTTGTCAGAGTCGAATTCAGTTCAATTTGGATAATTATAAACGGCGTTTTGGTAGCATTCACCGTGTTGGTTAGTTTGGACATTTTGTATGTTTGATTGATTATAATTCATTATATTATAGTTTAGATATACATATATTGTTATTTATTTTTGTTTTGTTTTTGTGGTTGTTGTTAGTTTGAACATTTTTTACTCTATTGTATGGACATTTAATTGACTATATTTTGTAACTGCTGCGTGACACTATGTCCTCCACAGATACGTAGCAGATGAAGTCCAGAAAAATGTTTTTACTCCTTCTAAGAAGCGACCGAAAAAGGGACATTTGGTCATCCGTACTAAAGAAATGGTTCTTAATATTTATAAGCATTAAGTTTTATAGAACCCTGATATGTTGGTACATGATGTTAAAAGGAGAGTTGCTGATAAAACAGGGATGTGCGCTAAAACCGTTTTTAATGTTATGAAGAAGTTTAGGCAGATTCATAAATTTTCTGAACCAAAAAGAAAGCTACGTTATAAACAAATTAGTGGCTCTGTGGATGATTTTGATAAAAATGCAATAAGGCGCAAAGTACATCAATTCTTCTTTAGAAATTAACTTCCAACAATCGATAAGGTTTTATAAGAAGTCAACGATGATCCATATTTGTCTACTTTTAAGCGAGCTACACTTTACAAGCTTTTCAAAACCCTTAATTTTAAATTTAAAACTCGAGGAAAAAATAGTTTGCTTTTAGACAAAATTAAATTGTTTCGTCCTACGCCACAAAAAATAAAACGGTACAGAGAAGAAAAACAAAAAATATATTATCTTGATGAGACTTGGATTAACGCAGGCGACACCAAATCAAAAGTATGTTTCGATATGTCGGTTTTATCATCCAGACAAGCCTTTTTGGATGAACTTTTAACTGGTTTTAAAAACCCATCAGGTATGTGCGTAAAAACAGCTCATTATATGCCATATTGGAAGTGAAGAAGGCTTTGTCTCTAATGCATTTTATGTATTTAAGTTGAAAAATCCGGTGACTACCATAAAGAAACGTGTGGAGAATCGTTAAAAAAGTGGTTTTCAAACACCCTACCAAAATTAGAAGATAACTGCATTATTATTCGAGAAAGCTGGAAAAAATACCTACAACGACGTCTAAAAAAGGTGATATTTAAAAATGGCTATAAGGGAAAAAAATTGAATTCGACTACCAAATGCTTAAGATCCAACTTCTAAAACTTGGTAAGCAAAATAAACATTATGATAGGTATGTAATAGATGAAATGGCTAAGCAGCAAAACAACATAATATTGAATTAATCTAGGTTGACGTTAAACAATACGTAGCAGATAAAAACTCAACATTTAAATCTGGAGACATTAAAATTCTTTTTGAAGAAGTAATATTATTAATTTCTCCAGAAAAATGGAAAAAGTGTATTGACCATGTTCGCCAAAAAGTTGAAGTAAAACTGTGGGAGTTGGATAATATTATAGAGGTTCAAGTAGAACCACTTGTAATTTTGATTAATGAAGATAGCCCTAACTAATTTATCCGATTCAGAATAGTGCTAAGTCAAGTAAGGAAGATTGCTATAATACAGGGTATAAGGTGTCTAATCTAAATACTAGTAGAACAAGAACAAAAAAGAACAAAAGTTGTCAAAAATACAAAAGGTTTCTTTTTAATATGCACAATTTAAATCAAATACCAAATTCAAATACCAAATACCTCTTATATTTAAAGTTTTTTTAATGCTTTTAGTAGATAAATATTAGCTATTAAAGAATTTGCAATTATTATAATATAATTATATATTATGATTGTTTTAATGCTCTGTATCACAGTAGACATATGTAATGAACTAAATATAATGCAAAGATCTCTTTTAAAGTCAAATACATTTATTAATTTGTATTGCAGGTTAACGCAATTTATGTCGATCACCTATCTTCGTCCATAAATGTCACTAAAGTCTGGGAGACCGTGTATGGCATTTATTTTATAGTTTTAGTTTACAAAATATGTTTTTATCGTAATAAAAAATTAATTTCACAATTACACTCTTTTATTTTACATTTTTGCAAGACGGAAAAGTAAAATACGGCCCTGCTAAATTTTAGCGTCCACCTGCTTCTGTTTCAGGCGTAAATTAAATTTGAATAGACTTTAGTCATTAAGAAATAATCGAAGCTTATGACAGTTTTCCAATAAAAATGAAGGAAGCTTCACTTATTTTTTAACGACTAGCAGTGCAAATGTACCTAAGTATTAGTTTGATTTCTATTTGTAGTATATAGTTTAGTAATCTATTGAACATGCATTGGTTACGAACAATATTTTTATTTTTAATAAATTATTGGATAAAGTTCTTGTATTGTAATTCTCGTACACGTGTGTTAAGAGATATCATAAATATTTGTATAATATACCTACTATTTATTTATATTTTTGATTTTTAAATATAAGCTTTTTATCTTTTTTATTGCCTATTATTTCAACCTTTGTTTCCGTTATACACTTTCTGATGTTTCCAACACAAATAATAATAATAATGGTGGCTCAGTGGTAGAGTCTCTGCCTGCGGAGGGTCTCAGGATCGAATCCCACCGTTAGCCGGGATTTTTTCATTTAATTTAATTATTTAAAATTAATTCTGATGCCTTGGTAGGATTCCCCACTCGACCATTCACTGTTGGGTACTAATTAACAGTGCTGTTTCTAAAGTGGCGCTGGGAAACAGTAACAAAGCCTACACAGAACACGAGGCTAATAACCACCCAGACAGCACACCAAATCCTTTGGATATCTACTGAACATCCCAATATCCACTGAATGTCCAGTCCATGGTAGATATCTATTTTATATCCATGAAATGTAATTTATAGACTTGCATAAATGTCCATAAATAATAGTAATTATATAGCAAATTATTAAAAAATTACGCCATTGTGCTCGCCATTGTTGCTAATAGTACCGTGCAGATATTTAAAATTAATTTTTTTAAGGTGTATTTAATATCCCATGAACATCCACTAAATATATCAAAGTCTAGGTGCGAACGCAAACCATCGTGGATATCCACTAGATCACAGAATAATAATATATAAAGTATTCTGTGACTAGATGTTATTTGATTCTGCTTACTAAGTATAGATGGCGATACCACTATCGCATCTACTCATGCTCGACCCGCCGTAATTGAGTTCGATCGAAATGTGTGTCTTATCACTCCATTAGAGACTGGAGTCGAGAATTTTCATTTATTGCTGAAGAGTACTAATAAGGATGCATTTCTCCTTAGTGGGCAAAATCAAAGGCAGAGTGTTGAAAATATTTTGAGTTGAAAATATTTTTTATCTCTGCTATTTTCTTTAGACGTTATTCAATAATTTGTTACTTATGAACCTCTACTAAAGATACCCATAAAATATTTTGCTGAATATCCGAATATCTTCTATATCCTGGGATATAGACGAACATTTGGTTGGATATCCATATTGGATATATTGAATATCCACAAAATATATTCTGTGGATATCTCTGGAATGTCTTGTATTTATTCTGGAAGATACCCATTAGATATTTTGCTGAATATCCATTGAGACATCTTCTATATTCTGGATATAGACGGACATTTGGATATCCATATTAGATCCACGGAATATTTCTGATATCCTGTGGATATATTGGATATCCACAAAACATATTCTGTTGATATCTCTGGGATTTGGTGTGTTGTCTGGGCATAGCAGTTGATGCCGATAATAATAATTATTATTTATTATTACTACATAGGTATCTACTTAAATAATGCAAGTTTATAAAATATGTGCATAATTTAAAGAATTTTGAAGGTATGTATCAAATTTATTATTTATATTAATTGCAAACCCCGTAAAAATGATGCGACACTGGTAATAGTGTCTAGGCATTTCCCCTCATAACGTAAACAAATCCTATTGAATGCGGACTCTATGAAATATATATGCTCGAAGCATGCAAGAGGCCCGAGATCAAATCAGAACTGGAGACTAATTTAATTAAATCTTTTTTCATGTATATTTTCTTTTATAAATTAGTAAAAGTCATAAATTATTATTTAGTTATTTCATCTTAATAACCTAAAATAATTTTCGATTTTCGTTAGTGGGTCGTAGAAAAAATATGCTGTACAACTCGAGAGGATTGTCCATATTAACTCTTGTTGCACAAATTATTATTGTAGCAATTAATTTGAAGTATTTAGAAAATTTTCACTTTTCCAATGTTTTCTGACAAATTCGAATTGAAAAAGTAGATTTTCGCGGTGTCGAGTAAGGTACAATGAGGATTTGTATTGTCTTTCTCTGCATCGCCTCCTGTGTTTTTCCGTTAAAAAAATGACGCGTAGAGTTTAACGAACTGCACGGCAAGCCGCGGCACACTCCGTCCTGGAAGCGAAATCGCCCAACTACGTATCGTTATTGAATACTACGAATTAGCACATGCGCACACATTGTTTACAAGTTGTGCTTGTCAGCTTCCCTAGCGACGAAATTCGAACGGAGAAAAAGACAGCGCGAATGAATGAAATAGAAAGAGAGAGTGCGCGAAAAGTATTTTGTAGTATTATATCTAGAGCAACGGCAACACCAGACAGCAGACGTCTACAATCTACAACACGGACACATGACCACATGAGGGTTGTTCGCTTTTTAATACCAAAATACTTATCAAATCGAGCTAAATTGCATATGTGAGTGTTAAGATAGTGTTGGTTTATTAGTAAAAAGTGAATTTGCGAGTATCGCGTTGCGTAAGTGGCGTTTTAGCGTGTTTTGGGTAAAGTGCGCGTTAAAGAGACCTAGAAACGTTGGTTTGTTTGGGGGTGTCTGGAACTGAAGCGCGACGTTTTACGTTTTTTCCCAAACAAACACCTTTCGTTGACCTATAAACTGGCAGTGCCCTTATTATTGCGCATAAAGAAAGTTCGAAGTGTGCCCTTGAAGCATGTTATACGGAATAATTACAAATAGTGTTATTATTATGAAATAATATGTCCCTTAAGAGTATTGGGCCGCAGCAGCGTGGCGGAGGCGAGGTGCTTCGCACGGGGTTGCTGAAAAAACTGAAAACCTCGCGAAAAAAGTGGTTCGTTCTGAGGGCAGAGACCCAAGATTCGTCTGCCAGGTTGGAGTATTACGATTCCGAGAAGAAATTCAACGCTGGTCAGGCGCCAAAAAGGAGCATTCCATTGAAGACCTGCTTCAATATTAATAAGAGGCACGACACCAAACACAAACATGTCATTGCACTTTATACGAAGGATGACTGTTTTTGCGTAGTTTTGGATTCCGAAGACGAACTCGATTCATGGTTGAAGGCACTTTTGTCGTTACAGCACGGCGATGAGGCTGCCGATGGGGAGGCTCCCAAACCTACTTTTGGTAATTTTATTCAATATTTATTTATTTCGCTGCATTTTTACCGATATTATTCATTATGTTTATACAGCGTGATGCTCAATTCTTTCAGCCACCCCTCCTGTTTTGTTATTATAAGTTTTAAGTACAATTAATCAGTGGCGGGTCAGGTTTTGAAGGCTCGTGATTAAAAGATTTTTAATTCTTTAACTACAGGTATTTTTTTATGAAAAAATAATAGATATTTGAATATTGGGGTACGTTCAACACGAGGGGCAAACAACTGACCTAAATTTTGTACACCTACTCTTTTGGTAGAAATAAATTCTCATACATCCTTGTATATTCTCATTTTTTTGTACACTGACAATATAAATGATTTTCCCCTCGTTTTATAACACTATGATGCTCTATTCGTTTCAGCCACCCCTCCAGTTTAGTTATTTTAAGTACGATGTACCTATATTAATCAGTGGCGGGTCAGTTTTTGAGTTTTGAAGGCTCTCTGATTAAAATGCAAAAAAAATAAAGGAGATTAAAATGTCTGTCGCAAAATATATTGTTTATTATTAGAAAATACGTAGAAAAATTACATATTTAAAAAAAATACATATTTAAGCCATAAATTTAATGTCAAATATTGGTGGGGATTTTACGGAAATAGCAATCTCAAAATATTTTGTTTACTCTTAGAAAATACCACTAATTTGATGTCACAATCACAGAAATCCCATATTTCCAAACAAATATGTTTAGGTATTTATTTGTGCAAAATTACTAAGAATTTTGATATTTAAAAATAATATTTTATCATACTTTGTGCAAGGTTACGCATGTAGAAATTCATAGTAAATTAGACCTACAATATCAAATAATTTCGAAACTAATTTAGGTTCCTAACTAACCTGTATGGCCTGGAGCCAACTAATTTACCCAATCGGCGATAAGATAAAATATATAAACATATATCGTGGCTAGACAGAAACGAATCAGCCATTATCAAAAGAAAAAATATATTTAAATAATAGCTCAACTATATAACATTTAAAAAAATAATTACCACTAATAAATCATTGTCATTTGTTTAATAATAATAATAATCGTCTTTATTTCCAGTAATTTAAAGTAAATACAATGAAATGGTACATATATACATGGGCGAAGTTTATTTTTGGTGGTGCACTAGACACAACAAAAATATTCTTCCACTTAACCCCTTTAAATTACAGATCCCACATAATTTGTATAATTACAATAAAATTAATAATATGGGGCTTCTTAAACTTATAAAAAAACACAAACATTTTAAGGGGACGTTCATTAATTACGTGAGGTATTTTTGAGGATTTTTCACCCCCCTCCCCCCTGGTGAGAGTTCTTAAGATTTTCCTCAACTCCCTCCCTCTCTCCTAATATCACGTGAGATTATTCAAAATTTGTGTTTTGGGTGTAAATGCATTGGATTAATAAAAAACAAAAACACAATAAATTACCTACCTAAAACTGACAGTAGATTAGGCTTTAGAGCTGTTCTGGATTTTTTTTTGTTAAAAATGGCGACTATTTAGAGTATTTAAGAAGTTTTTTTAAGACAGAATCATGTTGACAAAATATTGTAATAAAAACAATAATTAAGCTGTATCAGTCATTCCAAGAAAACAAGTTTAGAGTCTGGCATTCTTCACCATATGGTTGTTGTATATATTTTCAAATTGCTGCACTATATGATTCAAACATAACATAACCTTACATTTAAACTGCTGTACTCGACTTTGGTCGGTTCTAATTTATAATACTGCTACTCTATTTGGTCCCCCAATTATGTTATTTACATTAATCGCATTGAGAAAGTAAAACGAAAATTTCTGCGGATTTCTACTTTCAAAATGGATATTAATTATGAAAATATTCTTCTCCAATCATGCAGACATTGGAGCACAGGAGAATAGAATTTGCGAGAATTTGACTTGTGTTTTTTATATAAAATTTTACGATTAGCTAACAAACATTGGAATAATATTGATATTGTAAGAGAGGAGTTCTGACCCCCTCCCTTCATGTTTTATTATTTCTATTAATTTTGTATTTTAAAACTCACAGCGATCTTTGGCAAATGTTTCGTTAGAAATATTATGACATATCTACACAATTGTTTGTTGTAATTTCTCAATTGTGATGGATACACTGTTAATTTGAGATACCCCCATAAAAATCCTTGAATATCCTCATTTTTGTACAGTGACAACATAAAAGATTTTCCCCTCGTATTATAACACTATGATGCTCTATTCGTTTCAGCCACCCCTCCAGTTTAGTTATTTTAAGTACGACGTACCTACATTAATCAATGGCGGGTCAGGTTTTGAGTTTTGAAGGCTCTGATTAAAATGCAAAAAATAAAGGAAATTAAAATGTCTGTTTATTTTATATCAAAATATCTCACGCAAAATATATTGTTTATTATTAGAAAGTGCGTAGAAAAGTTACATATAAAAAAAATACATATTTAAGTCAGAAATTGAATGTCAAATATTGGTGGGGACTTAATGGATATAGGAATCTCAAAATATTTTGTTTACTATTAGAAAATACCACTAATTTGATGTCAAAATCACAAAAATCCCATATTTCCAAACAAATATGTTCACGTATTTATTTGTGCAAAGTTGTTGAGCATTTTGTTATTTAAAAATAATATTTATCATACTTTGTGCAAGGTTAAGCATTTTGATATGTAAAAATTCATAGTAAATTAGACCTACAATACCAAATAATTCCAAAACTAATTTAGGTTCCTAACTAACCTGTATGGCCTGGAGCCAACTAATTTACCCAATCGGCGATAAGATAAAATACATAAACATTATAATAACATATATCTTGGCTAGACGGAAACTAATCAGCCATTATAAAAAAATATATATATTTTTAAATAATAGCTCAGCTATAAAACATTTAAAAAAATAATTACCACTAATAAATCATTGTCATTTGTTCTCTAAATTACAGATCCCAAATAATTTGTGTAATTATAATAAAATTAATACTCATAATACTTAAAACAAACATTTTATTAAAAGAAAAATAAATTGCCTACCTAAAACTGACAGTAGATTAGGCTTTAGAGCTGTTCTGGATTTTTTTGTTAAATATGGCGACTATTCAGAGTATTTAGGAAGTTTTTTTATTACTTTCCTATCTGTATACAGATATAAGGAAAGTATAGGAATCATGATTTTTTTCGACCTCGAGTTTTCGACGGATTTTTACGTTTTGAGGTCCCCTGAATCCGTTTTGACTATTTTCGCGATGATGTCTGTGTGTGTGTCTGTGTGTCTGTGTGTGTGTGTGTGTGTGTGTGTGTGTGTGTGTGTGTGTGTGTGTGTGTCTGTATAACGCATAACTCATGAACCGATACACAGAAAAACACAAAATTTTAAACTTAAGCTTTGTTTCAGCGTCCAATGAGCTGATTAGATTTTGGGCAGAGTCGGAACATCTGGGGGGGTACTTTATAGGTGGTCATTTTTATATTTTATGGAATATATCTGTTATTTACGTTTGGAGAAGAAAATTCTTCAAATAAAAGTTACTTCTAATATAATTATCTATAATTTTTGTTATATGCAAAATTTTCCTAAAATGGTCCGTATTCGAGAAATTTGACAAAATGTAAAAAAAATAATTTTTTATAAAAATTGTTCAAATAAAAGTTGTTTGTAATATAATTCTCTATAATTTTTATTCTATACATAATTTCTCTAAAATGGACCGTATTCGAGATATTTGAGAAAATGTGTAAATTTCGAATTTTGAAGAAAACTCAAAAACGGATATAGAAAAAAACATTAAATTTTAAACTTAAGGTTTATTTCAGCCTGACGTGCAATGATTAGATTTTGGACAAAGTCGGAACATCTGGGGGGGTACTTTATGGGAGACCGTTTTTATATTTTATGGAATATATCTGTTATTTATGTTTGGAGAAGAAAATTGTTCAATTAACAGTTACTTCTAATATTATTTTCTATAATTTTTGTTTTATGTCAAAATTTCCTGAAATGGTCCGTATTCGAGAAATTTGACAAAATGTGCAAAATTCTGATTTTTTTTGTTTTTACGTAATAACTAGATAGGAAAGTCATGTGTTGGACACATCAGATTTTTTAAGACATAATCATGCTGACAAAATATTGTAATAAAAACAATAATTAAGCTGTATCAGTCATTCCAAGAAAACAAGTTTAGGGTCACCATATGGTTGTTGTATATATTTTCAAATTGCTGCACATTAATATGATTCAAACATAACATAACCTTACATTTAAACTGCTGTACTTGACTTTGGTCAGTTCTAATTTGGAATACTCGGAATACTGTTACTCTGTTTGGTCCCCCAATTATGTTATTCACATTAATCACATTGAGAAAGTACAACGAAAATTTCTGCTGATTTCGACTTTCAAAATGGATATTAATTATGAAAATATTCTTCTCCAATCATGCAAACACTGGAGCACACGAGAATAGAATTTGACTTGTGTTTTTTATATAAAATTTTACCGTTAGCTAAGAAACATTAGAATAATATTGATATTGTAAAAGAGGGGTTCTAACCCCCCTTTCTCCCCAATTGTTTCCACGAATCTACCTCCATGTGTTATTATTTTTATTAATTTTGTATTTTAAAACTCACGGCGATCTTTGGCAAATGTTTCGTTAGAAATATTACGGCATGTCCACACAATTATTTGTTGTAATTTCTCAAATGTATGTTAATTTGAGATACCCCCATAAAAAAATCGATAGTGATAAATCTGGCAATGTAGGTGGCTGTTCAATAGAGCCTCTTCTCCCAATCCTCTTTTTAGGATAATTATTGTTTAACCAATGTCTTACTTCATATATCCTCGTTTTACCTAAATCAAGTGACATTTTTATGAACATTAAACTTTTGGAAATGGAAGTTCAAAACACAACCTATGTTTATTATAAAATAGTTGATTCCACATATCATAATTTAA